ATCAAGAGCGGTAACAGTTTTGACTCAGTAACTTGGTAAGTTGTCTGAACACTGCATTCAAATTACAGCTGAGGGAATAGGCATGCTTTATTGGGTTCTTTATTGGCAAATCTCAGATACCAATCAAAGATAGCAGCTTGAGGTGCAGTCAGTTATCCACTAAGAACTGAACTGGAACAAACCACCTGCACATAAACGAAGCCATTGTTTTTAATGGAAAGTCACAGTGTAGGAAGACAAAGAGGCCACTAGCAGGTGGCAAAGGGTAGAATTAAGGACTCACCTGACTGGCAGCAGGCTAAGCTGGAGCTTTACAGCCACCTGAGCTGGCCAGGAAGTCCACCCCTGGAAGCCATGAAGTAAGAAGCTCCTGGTAGTAAAGCAGCACGGGTCCAGAGTTCAGGAAGAAAGACACTCTTCAACACAGGGAATAAAGGAAGGTACCTGGGGCATAGCAGGGCTTGATTATACTGGCAGGTAGCCCTGGTTTACATTAAGCCTTAGAGGAGGCTTGAATACCTGTCAGAGGGCAGGTGCTCACTGTTAAGTTATAAGAGCAGTTTAGCCTGGAGCCCTGGAAGGGCAAGCAAGGCTCACCTAGAGAGAGCCAGCAGCCCAGAAGGACTGAATGGGATCGGCAGGGTCCAGCAGCCCAGTGAGTGGCCGAGAGTTGTGTAGTGGGACAAGCAGGGTCCCGAGGCCCAAAGAGGGGCCAAGAGCTCTGAGGGCCAAGAGGAGCCAAAGGAGGGACCAGGTCTCACAGCCGAAAGGGAAGTCAATCAAGGGGTCAAGGAGTCCAGCAGCATAAGGAGGGGCTGAGTAAGGGACTGAGGGGACTGGAGACATGGGGCTGTGCAGGACATCGAGTGGTCTGAGGGTCCGGAGGAAGGTCACGTGACAGTAAGCATATGACAACAAGAATGTCTATGAGAATGCCACCTGCAAGGCTTGGGGCACAGTGTGGGGGATGTACGCAGCCACGCAATTAGCCCTTAAGGCTACAGGTGCCTTGCAGAGACATGGTCAAGTTGAGAGAGCCTGTCTGAGCCTGAGGAAATAGCTGAGACTAGCAATGGAACCCCATTGGAGATTTGGTAGGACTGAGGCTTACTAAGGCCCACAGGCAGCCTATTTTATTCAGCCTTTAACAAGATCAAGGTGTGGGGGACGAGCAAATTGAGGGAGAGCAATACTAGAGTCAGAGCTGAGCAAGGTGCATCACGTCCACCCCCTGGGTCTCAGACCTGCTACACACAGTAAGCAACATATGCTCTTATGTTATAAACTTTTAGAGTAGAAACTGCTGCTTTTTGGTACAATGATGCAGTATATTGGTATTCAAAGAATACTCAAGCAATTTGGCTCTACAACTCCATACTGAAAAGCATCAAGTACTTCTCTGTACATTTGGCAGGCTGACTCAGTTGCCTGTAAGCGGTTGCTTTACTTTCCTGTTCAATAAACAAGCAATCTTCCTTTATCAGCTTCTTCTACAACAGGCACAAGTAGCCAATTCAGTCTTCATAAGTCATTACTCGTAGCACATTATTACATGTACTTAAAAATAATACAGATGAAGTAAAGGTAAGCAGTCATTTTAAGATACAAGTGTTTCTTCAACTTCAGGAACATCCAAGTAAAATTAACAATTCATACTTGTGATTAATGTCTATTGGTGAAGCTGCCCAGCTTCCTTTGAAAAAACACAAATATCCTAAGAGTAGATACTTGGCTAAAGCCTTATTTTTAAAAAGCTACTAATTTTTGTTTTGAAGTCCAGATGGAGATTCCCTAAAAACTCTCTAAAGTTGGGCACTAAAATCATTAGATCTACATTTTACTAAGGTCAACTGTAACCCAGCCACTACAGTAGCATTATAACTCCAGACTACTCCAGTAGCATTAAAGCATCATCTAGTTTTGTGCCCTTGCTTATACTAACTTTCCCACTTTAAGTACCACTGGTTCAACTCCACTGATCATGCAAGCAATGACAGTAGGCAAAGCACCAACATTAACCACTCTGGGTATATCTACACATGCAATTAATGCAATGCAATAAACTCCAGCACATATCACACCAGCATTCATTGCTCTTGGGTGCTGAGTTTGCACAAGCACCCAGGACTGCAATACACTGATCTGGGCTGGAGTAGCCCTAGCTGGCAGGGAACCCAGGGGGTCAGCCTGCCAACCAGGGGCTGCTCCAACCTGGCTCAGAGCACTGCATAGGGGCTGGCTAGGGCACAAAGGTGCTTCAGTGTGGGGCTAGCCAGTGTGGGGCTAGTCAGCAGACAACCTCCACACTGAAGTATGCTCATGCTTCAGCCAGCCCTGTCATCATCTACAAGTGTGTTGCTGTGCACTAAAGAACACTGCCATAGAACAGTATTTGTGTTTACAAGTACTGACTTACGGCAGAGTTAATTCATTTCCTGTGGCCTAACATGGCCAGATGTGTAGACACTAAAACTTTACTGCGGAGCTAATTAGCAGCTCTGCAATAAAAGTCTCATGTAGATGTGCCCCTTGTCACCAAAATCGTCCGAGTTCCCTAGATTAGCACTCCCCATCAGTCGTGATATTATGTATTATGCTTCTTCACCAACCACATAATTTTAAGTCCACCATAAAAAGTCAGCAAGGCCCATAGTCTGGAGTGTTTTTTTATCTCTTTTAAAGAATTCAGAATAATCAGAGCATTTGATAGTTTCACACAACATTTCAGAGAGAATTCATAAAAATATTCATTAGGAGCATACTCCATTTACTATTTAAAGAATGTTGAAATGTGCAATAGAGAAGAACTGAGAAAACTACCAACCTCCCACTTGCATCAGCAATTCAAAAGAGTTTCACAACAGAATACTTCCACTTCCAGTTGTACCAGCTTCACCACTGTCAGAAACAGTATTACTAGCTCTAAAAAAAAAAAGTTAGGAGCTCTTTGTTTCTTCATGAAGAGCTACTTCTGGAATCTGTCAGACATTCAAAACTAACAGTGAGCATGCAGAGGCAAGCTACATCAGATCGGATCCCAGTCTTCTTTCCGCTTGTTTTGTGAAACAAAGCAAAGCATGTGGGGGATCTTTAAGAAGAGGCTTGATGACTACCTGGCTGGACTCATTTGAATCCAGTCTTTTCTCCCGCCCAGGCGGGGGTCAGACTTGAAGATCTACAAGGTCCCTTCCGACCCTACTTCTATGATTCTACGTGGAAATCTTTTTTCAGCAACTAACTGAAAATGATTACTTCATACTGTGGGAATTTAAGGAACACAAGGACAGCAGATTAATTCCTTACCCTTCTCCCATCCCAGTGTACTGGTGGGTTGGAGAGCTGCAAGATCTCCCTAATCTCTAGATAGTTTCAGCAACTTTTTCAGTGAACACAATTTACAGCAGCCCTGAGGCTGTTCTGTTCTGAATCGTGGAATCATCACTGTGGCTGAGACGAAGGTTATGGCATGAAGTTAATACATAGCTATTTCTTACCATCTTTCCCCAATGATCTAGGCCAGGGGTTTCAAACATACAGTCCACAGAACTGCCATCTCACACGCAAGGCTCCTGAAAAGCCTGGGATTTGGGATAGGACCTACCACTGAATTTCAGAGAACAGAGCCCCATTGAGGATGCACTGGTGGCAGCAAGAGCTAATGACAGCTGTGTTAACTCCCATGGGTCCCTGACACTGCCCACCCCAGTGCCAGAAGCAGATCAAGATCTGGCCTGTGAGGATTCCCATGCTACTCGATCTGACCAGACTCTTCATAAGTTGTTTCAAGGACTCTCTAAACTTCACTGTTAAAAACATGCCATAGTTAAATATACTATATTTTCAGACTGGATCTGGCTTCCTTCAACTTGGAACCAATGGAACATGTTCCATCTTTGTCTGCTAGATGTGAAGTACCTAGAGCTTAGTGCCTTCAAGTATCAAGACGATCTAGAAGCAGATAAAATAAAATGTAGTCATCAATGGACTCCATATTTATGCGTCCTCTTGATCACCCTTTCCAGCTCCATCAACCTTGCAGTCTTAGCTGATCAGGACACAGCTTCAATTTTGCCTATACACAAGGCTGTTGGCTAAGGTACTCTCTAGGGGAGGGGGGAGATGTAGGTTAGACCTTTGGCTAATGTTACCACTCTGCTTTTATAAAATGTGGTCATTAAAACTATGAAACTTCCTCTTCTGGTTCACATCATTTGATGCAAAAGTGGCCAATCTTTTATACACAGGGGAATAACCTTGGTTCTTATGTGTACAAGGGAATTTGGGACTCTGAATCCCAGTCTCTCACAGCTGCCTACCTGAAGACAGGTAGGATTTCAGATAAACCCCCTCTGGCATTTTTCCATTGGACGACATACCATCCAAATCAATCTGCTGGCTGTTGTGAAACCATGCATTTTATAGGGAAGTCAGACACTTATCTTTGGATTATGAATTCATCCTCAGCGTCAAGGTCCTAGAAGTAGGCATGGTAACGATAAATCTTTTCATACCAAAGTTCCTTTGGGGCAGCACCTTTTATTCCTTACATTTTCCAGCTGTGAATGTAGAACAAGCAATATTTTCCCCATTTTAAATGTGTGTTCCAAAGATAAATGTATTTAAGATTTGAAGGTTTTTCATCATTTCCTAAGATCTTCAGAAGCTGGATATACCAGATCTCCTCTGGAAATCCATTCCATTGCTGGATTCTCTTGACCAAAAATGCTTTGTACCCAACTCTTTGGCTGTCCGAAGAATTCAGAGATTGAAACTTGGTCCTTTAAAACAGATGGGGCTTCACTCATTAGTTGCTTTGAAAATTAGGATCAGAAACCTCAAACCTGCACTGGAAAGGGATCAGAAAAAAATGAACACATGCAGATGAATGTCTGAAACTAAGAAGATGCAGTCTGTACTGGGTGGAGTTTATACATAACCTGCACATTCACCTTCAGATACACTGAATTAAAGTACTGTAGCCTCAATGTATCCAAAAGAAAAGGGCAGTTTCACCTGCTGCTTTCTGGCAAAGAAAGTACTTTTAAGTAATGAGACTATCCTGTTCCTCATTAATCTTGGACGACCAAAACAAGAAACTCATGCCACAGTGATGAATGGGGCCATAAGCCTTAATAGAGTGGCAGCATCTCACATAATTCTTCTGAATAAGAACTTCATCTGAACTTTTCTAATCAATATAATCTGAACATTGCCTTGCTTCAACTAGAACCTGCTGCTCTTCATGACAAAAAAAAAAATTCTTGTAAACACTAACTTCTTAGTAGTGGCAGTGGTTGCATCAGTGAAAAATCAGACACACAGATAAGTGTCATTAGAATACTATTTATAGTTAAGTACAAAGCACCTTGCTGGAACATGCGGAGCTACAGTAGCATTGGGCAATGTAATCTTGTGACATCACGTTAAGTGGGTTAGCAGTATTTTATGATCCACTGCATCAAAGACTTCTGATATGTCCAGCACCATAAGCCCTGTGACAGGCCATGCTGAATCATCCCTGTGAAGTATAACACTGAAGATATCAAGTGACTCATTTCTAATTTCAGAAAGCTTCAAAATAAAAAAAAAAAAAAAAAAAA